TCTTTTGGCCTACCTGAACAGAGCTTTGAGATTCTCAGGAAGCTCGGTCCTGCCAGCGTAGCCTGGATTCATTGTGATGAAGATGCCAACAGAGGGACAAAGATTCACTTCCTCTCCCATGAAGTTAAATCTCTGCTTCTTATCGCGGATGGCATCTTGGATGCTTTTGACCTAATTTCAAAGATAATACAAAATGGAATTAACTGTTGGAACTGGATGCCAACACACAAACATTTTTTAGCCCCATTTTTGAGGATTAAAGGGGTATATAGTGTATGTTCCCAAGCAGTAAAAAGGGCACACTCTGTCTACCACAATTAAAAAAACAAATACAAAAATGTGTTTTTAATCATCATTTAAGTCAAAATCATGTGATACATAGTGACAAATTACATGGTACTACTCAACGTTTTGGTCACAGTTTAAAAAACGGCATGTTAAAATTATTTTTAAGCTAATTAATGAATAATAATGAAAAAATACAATGAGAATGTTAAACTGCTAATACTCACTTTTACTTAGTACAGCATTGGTTACTGTATACGTTTTGCATCAGTGTCTTTGGTAAACTGACAGAGTGCCTGTGTCTGTCTATTGTGGCCAACAGACATTGGACTTGTCCACGGAGGATTTACATGACAATGCACCAACTACATACATGCCAAAGCGTAACACGGATATATAATCAAGTCATTACATACATCAACTAATGTGTTGAATCAGAAGTGCTAATATGCAATCTTTGCACAGTTATTCCAATTCAGTATGTCAGGTTCCTACATGTTCAAGGCACTAATGAAATTTCGAGGGTGACCAAAGTTTCCATAATCCATCCTCTAGGCACCAAAAATGTTTGTACAGAATTTTATAGAAATCCATCGAATAGTTGTCAAAAAACCTTTGGCCAACTACTCTCCCAACAGTGCTGTCCCTGCAGGACTTGGGTCCATGGTGCCAAGATTTTTCAGTCAACAGTATTTCTCACTTTCATTGGTAGTTTCTTCAGTCACACATCTGGAACTCCCCAAATATTCACTCTCTTTGGTTTCTGGTTACCGTGTCGCTATAAATCTCTTGCGGTGTGGACACGTCTTTACAGTCATTTTAACCCTGGAGAAACCATGGGGTCAGATCCAACCCCATTGGTTTACTAGGGAAACCATGGGGTCAGATTTGACCCTATGGTTTCCCTAGTAAACCAATGGGGTTGGATCATGTTTAAATAGTTAAACATTCTATTTTGGAACACTGAAAATCAACTTTTGATGAATATGAATACAGTTATAGCATTTGTAACAAACCTAACAGCTGGTAAGCTGGATGAAAATTCAGCACGTCTGCCTTGAGAAATATACAGGCTCGCTCATCCAATATGGCGGCCTCACTGACACACCTTTGTAATAAAAATCCCAACCAATCTACGTGCGGGTAATAGCTATGATTGCCACCGGCTCCCTACCAAACCACGCCAAGCCGAAACTATCTGAAACACAGTTGATATCCCGGCATCAAGTGCAACTCTCATTAACATATTATTAATATCACCAAGCACACAGCAGAGTCGATTTGCAACAGCCTGTCAAATTGTTATGCAGCATGCAACTTTTTTTTGCAAAGGGACGCAATTTCATCAATAGTATGAGCATGTTATCAGCCAGGGTTCACTGGATGGATGAACTACCAAAGCCCTGCTTGTCTACATTATGAGGGAATGAGATATCAGAAATGAACTTTCTGTGAGTGTGTATACGTGCGTGCATGTGTGTGTCTCGGCCTAAAACTCTGAATCCCAGCCTGTAAGAAGCTTTATGAATTTAACATGCGAGCGGTAGAACAGCGAGTCGACAGCTGGAAAGAGGAGGAACATCTCTTCATGGATGAGTACTCGGCTACAGATCACTCAGTCATACTAACGCAACGGGGAGAGGCAGGAGGGGGGGATGCAAAAACAAACAGGGAAGCTGCATCAGACAAAAAAAAAGAAGAAATAAAAGTTTTTAGGACAACATCAGAGGAGCTTGTGTTTTATATGAAATGGCAGCAGCTCACCGCTGCGATCCTACAGGGATAGGAAGGGAAGGAAAACACAAAAATCACATTTAAAAGAAGCTCAAGAAAAGAGGTATGATCCAGAGAGGTCCAGCTCCATTCGTTGTTCCTCTCTGGAGCTGGTGGCTTCAATAAAACAAAATAAAACACATTCAGTGTTTGATGTAACTGAGGTAGAGCCCCACCAAGCCATCTCCATGTTATAACAACTGCAGGCCTTTGGCTGGTTTCAGCTTTACTTAATGTAGAACTGGTCCAGGCCCAGGCCTCAGCCACATGCACCTAATCCATCTGTAAGAAGATGGATTAGGTGCATGTGGTATGGTGGGAGATGGCTCTGTGTTGGCTCCTCTCAGGAAGGCTGAGCACTGGAGTGGGCTGCCAGCTCTCGCAGCAGGAGTTTGACGCTCCTCCATTCTCTGGGTCTACTTCTCCACGTAGGAGCCACCGTGATTTATTATTCATTACACCACGCAACACCAATTCATTCTTCTGGCACTTTAAAATTCTCTAAGTACTGTAGACTTCTATGGCTTACGAAGGAAGACTGCTTGACTTTCATTTCTGCTACAGGGAGAAGGGCAGAGGAGTGACTGCTAAGTCTAGGGGTGAATAATGATCCTTTGAGGAGCTCTATCTCCATTATCATCATGATCGCAATCAGCATCCTTATCAACTGTGTACATTTTACTTTGACAGTAGTGTACATGCATGAAGATAGAGTCAGGACCAACGGTAAGCAGGATTGGAGTATAGCACAGGGACTTGTGAAACCACAGGGAGAGGATCTCTTTGATCGAGGATAGCTGAAAAGCTAGCATCAGCTGAAACACGCAGAGTATGGCTGATTTCTCAAAAGAGTGCTGTTCTCAGAGGGTTAGCTACTGTAGGTCACACAGAGTATACGATGCTCGGTGTAGTCTTGTTTTTTCTCCACATGTGTCATTTTGCATGAAGTGAAGAGAGAAAAGGAGCATAACTATAAAGAATGATCAGTCCAGGTCATTCACAGAGCTCCATGTAGTAAAAAAGAGCACTATCCCAGCTTCTTCTGGGGAAATAATTAACCCTACTGTGAAGCACAAACGTTAATTCACTAATCAATTTTAGGCCACTTGAGATCAGTGAGACCAACTGAAAACCAGGTTTGGCCACTATGTGACTTTACCCAAGGGCTTCTTTCAAGAAAATGTTGTTATACCCAGTGGATGCTGCAACTGTGGGGGTGGGGTGATTCAATACGATTTAATGGTGCACTCGATTCATGCACTCGAGTCATGTAGCGCAACCCACTTTATTTACACTAATTAGTGATTGTGCAGTGGCACAGAGAGAACAGAGGAGCTCTGCATGTGCAGCTCTGGAAAAACAAAGCGAGAAGCTGCGAGGACTTTATATGTTTTCCAATTCTGGGAAAGTACCAAATCAAAGTAGACCTTTTTGATATACCAATGATTTAGCTTACCTTTATTAGTGGACACAAGTGGATGGGCATCAGCAAAACAGGTAAAACAGTACTACTAATTTAAATTCCCCTAGTTGTTTATAGTCCATTTTTCCATCCTGCCTTATAGTTTTTCAGGCTGCATATGTGTAAATAGCAGTTCCCCCATTTTTAGGCCTGGTGGATCACTGAGGTTGTAATATACTGCCCAAAATTATGGGTACAATACGTGCACAGCTGTCAGGTTCCCCACATACATTTATGAGGTACTGTTTGTTTTTCAAACCAATTAATCAGACATGTAAACATACAGTAAACATAAAGATTAACGTCATATAACGACCTACCAGTGCCTATTAGTGAACACTTTAAATTGCGCTGTAATGGGTCGTTGTTCACCAACCAATCACAACATATTTGTCCAATTCCCCAATTGTACTGTAAACACAACAGTGACACAACTAGCATGTTTGCCCTATGGCACTATATTATTAAGAGGAACATTCATTTGCGCTTATGTTTCTGTCCATCTGTTGTTGTTGTTGTGGTCTCTGGAGGGGCTACAGTAAATTTTGCACTGGTTTTAGCTGTTCTGGCTCAGGTTGGAACCACCTTGTGCATGTACCATAAAATGAATACAGAAACTTTCGAGACGATGCAACGTCAAGCATAAAAACACACAGATTTTAATGAGGAACGGCGTGTCAATCATCCTTGGTCTTTGACACAGTGTTTCTGAGTTTATGTACCTGAATTTATGTCGTTATGTAGTTATTTTCATATTTATTCTCAGCATACTTAGTGTTTATATTTGCTTCTGGTATACTTGTGTGTATTTCCTTGAGTCTTGAGTTCTTAGTTCCAGTTTGTTTTGTTTTCTATCCTCTTCTGTCAGTTCCCTCATATTAAGTTCATTCATGTGCTTCCCACTCCTCGCTTCCTGTTGATTTTGGGAGTTATTTATCTCTAGTGTCTTGCATTTAGTATTATTTTCCCTCCTGACTTGTCTTTGATCACTATCAGCTGAGTCTCATTACCCATCTTGTGTAGAGGTAGTCCCGTGTGTTCACTTTAGTCCTCGTCACGGTGTCTGTTATCTCAGCTCGTGCTCTTTGTTGTTTTGTACTTTAGTTTCCATTAACTTCCACTGCTCATCACTGCTTGGACTTTGCTTTTGCTGAAATAAAGGTTAGTTTTTTGAAACTTCTGCCTACCCGAGAGCCTGCATTTGGGTGGGTATGTGATTTATAACTGAATTATAGGAAAACTGAAGATTATGTTAGAAGGTTAAAAAATATTATGGTGTTTTTTTTGCTTTGTTCTGTTTTTAATTTATGGATGACAAAAGGCCAGGTTGAAGGTCAGTTGTATCAGGAAAAACTGTAAGATGATTTTTCTACATTTTGTTGGCAAATAAAGAATATTTTGCTATCTGTTCTCTGAGTGTTTCATGTCAGTCCATCTGAGTTGCAAAGATTGCTACTAATGTTGCAAAGTTAAGCTGGGGAGGCAGTTTTCCCTCTTCAACTCTCAAATCAGATCACAGAAGGCTCCAATTATAAAGAAGCTCTGAGGTGCAAAGGTGGCAGCCTTGGTAGATTAGTGTTATAGCTGAAAAAATTAGACTTGCAATTGGTTATGAAGAGGCCGTTTCCTCGAACAGCAGTGTTTTCAAGGGCTTTTCACTAGAGCTCGATTGAGTTGGACCACAAATAAAATGCACCCACGGCGCTCTCAATCAACTCCACCTGCAAATACCTGAGGGGGAGGGAATCGTACCTGTACAGCCACCACAGAAAGAACCTCCACAGATATCCTGTTAAACTCGTCAAAGCAGCCCCAAGCTCCTGTCTGAGCCAGGCCTTTGTAGATGTTCCCACAGGACTGTGGACACAAACAGACAAATATTCAGACACATTGGGGCAGGAAGCCAGTCAGATTCAGATCCAGTCTGACTGGTAAGACGTGGAAAGGGATACACATATGTATCAGCAATTACACAGAAGACATATGAAAAAACAGTTTTGTCATAGCGACTACAGAGACATGCAAGGTTGTGAATAATAACACAAACAAAGCCTCACACTAGTAAAAAAAGGGGCTGATGGCAACAAAAAGAAGGCTAAAATATTGCCGGCACACATTACAGCTGCCCCTAACACTGGCTTGAGAGCAGGTGAACAGCCCCCCCGAGACCAAGATGAAGCAGGCGGTTGACTCCAATTACAAGCAGAAGGAACGAAGCCTCCTTGACGTGGACCGGAGCTGACCGGAGGATTGGTTTAACTTGTGTATGTGCGTAACTTAATATGACTAACAATGCAGGGCTCTGCGAAATGTTCAAGCGCACATGTGTATTAGCACATCTATCTGTACACAAGAGCTTTGGAGTTTATAGGTGTGCCGGACACCTCTATAATATAATGATTCCCCTGTCTAGTGGAAGCAGGAGCAAGCTGGATTGTAAGATTGCGTTTATGTGTCCGTTGACCCCTCAATATGCAGAAAATATGAGTGAAATATAAAAGCATAATAAAGGCAGGCGGAGGCTGAATACAGAGAAGGGTTTTTGACAAGGTTTGGTAAAGCAATAACAATGGGGGTTTACTTAATCAGCTATTCTTTCAAGGGGAAAGCAAACAGAAGATGAAAAGAAGAAAGATGAAAAGAGAAGGGCATAAAGGTAGGTTGACAACTTTAATGACAAATGCATACCATATCGCTGACAAAGGCAAAGATGAAAAGAAACACACATGCTGCGAACGCACATTGGCTCTGTGCGTGGGCTCAAACACAGAAGCTTGTGCTCATGCACGCTCGCTCACCTTGTAGTCCATCTGCTCGGAGCAGTTAAACACGTACACCATGATTCCCAGGGCCCGTCCCAAGTCTTTGGTAGTCTCAGTCTTCCCCGTGCCTGCGGGCCCAGCTGGAGCTCCACTCATTGTCAGGTGGAGGGACTGAGTCAGTGTGATGTAGCATCTAAACATAGTGGAGATATTTCTAGTTGCATTACTACAGTCCACGCACATCCATATAAGTCGGTTCTCTGGTTGAGCACAAAGATGGGAGACTTAAACATGAAATCACAGTTTCTGGAGTAAAACCTCTCTGCAGAAGGCTCTTGCTTCTGTGCAAGTTTAAACCCAGAACACTCTTGCTGCTAACTACAGAGCTATATTTTTATGTGTCAAAATAATGAATGCGGAGGAACTGAAACTTCACAGTTGCTAATTCTGGCCAAAACTCAGTTTTGCTGTGAAAACACAAGCAGGAGCCTTTTTAGCATGGGTATGTCAGTGTGCATGAACATGCTTTTCAGTAAACAGTAACCTGAACAAATGTGTTTGCCACTGTTTGCTTTATGCCGGGCTCACACTGTGCGATTTTTGGCCCATTTTGAGCCGATTTTTGAGTCGTGCGACCGTTTTGGCGATCGGCCCAATTTTGGCCTTCATCGTGCGTCGTGCATCGTGTAGTATACGTGGGGTAACGAGAAGCGATTAACAGCTCACGACCAGCTCCCGATCATCAATCGCTTGGTCGCGAGGATTTCAAACCTGTTTGAAGTCCGGGTGTCACCGCAGTTTCTCACACTGCGCGTGCGCAAACACAAATGTCAGCAAAAAAGACGGCGCAGCACGGCTGTGCAGCGTGTGATCTGGACACAAGCGATGGAGGCACTTGTAGAACTTTGGAAAGCTCATCCGAGCCTTTTCGATGTGGCCTCACAAAATTATCACGACCACAACAACCGTGAAAATAGTTGGATAGACATCGCTGCTCAATCACAGCTGCCTGATCATGTTCTTCATTAGCAATTTAGCAAAGTTGATGGTGGTGGTGTGTCTGTGTGAGTGAAAGACAGAGAGGGAGAATTTCTGTTATAACCTTCATTTTATGGACGCACAGTGTGAGCACTCAGGTCGCATCAGAGCATCGGGTCGTATAGTGTGAGACCCTGCATCGTGACCTACGAACTTCTAACCCCTGCGAGTCAATCGTACAGTTTGAGCAGGAGCTGAATCGCGCGACTGACAAAATCACACAGTGTGAGCCCGGCATTAGGGCGACTGTATAGGTGCTACCAGCACTACTTGTGCTGTAAATACTGATATAAGAAAACAAAAACATACTATTCTGTGTGTGAACCTGCACGTTGCTGCCTGTGTGTCGGAGGACCATAACAAGGATTTGAATAAAGACATTGTCTTCAAAGCATGAAAACCAAAATTTGGACTGAGTGCATGATTTACAGGTGGCTTAATGAGACACTGAAGTCCTCCGTGTCAAATCAAAATACAAAGTAGCATCAGTGATCAGCGTGACATTACACCAATTCACTTAAGAACAATGCTCCTGTCCCTCACACAACCAGCACGCAGCGAAAGAGCTGAACGCAGAGGACTTTCTTCCCAGGTCACTGCAACAATACACTCTCTTATAATAAATGCACAATAGGAGAAAAAAGCTTGGGTTTCCGCCACCGCATTACAAGAACTGCACGCAGCTATTAACATGACAAAAAACAACCCCGCGTTGTCCTATAACCAGCACTGACAATGTCGTGGTGTTGTCTCAGCTGTCACTGTACATAATTTTATTAGATGATAATATAATCTGTTCCTGTGCTTTGATTATGACACAGGCTGATTAGTGACACCATTGATTGCTTCTGCTCCACAACCTGTCAGGACTAGCAAACAGTCTGCCCAGCTAGTGTCAATAAAAAGCAGAAGCACTGCGAATGTGAAGTGACAATCAGCAGTGAGCACGCTGGTTTGCCTTAAATAGCAACACAGCAGTTGTTTTAATAAGCTGCTGGTTAATAGATGATGTATGGAAGGGGGAAAATATCGGGAAGCGTAACGAGAGATAGAAGTCAGAGAAGACAAATGATGCCATCTGTATACAGTGTATCAGAGCCAATCGGCTTCATGACTCTTCGCTAAAATACGGCCAGAAATCTCACACTAAGTCATCAAGGAGGCTGGATAAGGATGGTCTGCACTGAATAACTAAAGCAAGATAGGAAAGAGTGAAACTAAACAGGGTTGCGATAAGGTGACTTATTTTATTACAGTGTCTTTAAGAAGAACAGCTATATATCAGCCTACCTGTCTGACTCATTCTCCCTCCACTCCTGTGTGTGTGTGTGTGTGGGGTGGGGGGTTGACATTTTGCATAATGGTGCAGCTTTGGAGTATTGAGTGAGTGCAAACATTACGCCGATAACATACACGCTGTTATAGATTAGAGTCACTTCCTTTAGCCTAATTATCCTGCTGCAGAAAGTGAGCACAACAGACTGAAAATAGCCACCGTGTGGTACATAATCACGCAGAGGTCATGTGAACGAATTCACATACTGCTTAAGAATTCATATTTCTTCTAGACAATATTAATGTTTAAAATCTTAAGTGACAAAGGCTTTGGTAAACGCAGCAATGTCAGAAATTAAGAAATTCTGTTTGCCTGCTTT